TTTCACCGGAAAAGATTGCCAATTTCGCAGGCCTTTATGTCGTCGTATACCAGATAGAAGGTACGTCTGTATCCCTGTTCTATTAAAGTTTAAAGTTTCAGAAGCGTCATTCTGCAGGGTAGTCTAGAAATAATTTACGTTCTGTAATTACGTCATCTGAATTCCCGTACGACTGGATGGAGGATGACCAACTTATTTAATTTTAATTTCACAAATATTTTGTGCATTATAAAATCAAACTATTTCACCCGTTGGCTCAACATGTGTTGGAAGTGACGATGCCTACATTTTGGTCACATGGTGATTGAAGTCACATGGCAGATTCAACTAACTACCGTATCCCAGAGCTGGCGTATGCATTACTTATATTAAAGAAAGGCGAAAGATACCAAAGGGATATTCAAACTCATAAGACGAAAATAAACTGACAACGCCACGACTAAAAAAGACAAAATGTGATATAAGTTGTTCTATAAATTTAGATGTACCTACTTTTTAAGGACACTCTCCCTCATTTCTGTCAGTTTTTGAATCATCTGGTCTGTCTGTGCTCTATTAAAAACGTCCATTTCTAGAAATTAACAAATGATAAATAAAAGGAGTTTAAGGTGGTGGCAGCTGATGGATCAGTTCATATCTCAAAATCTTAAAAAAACAAACATTTTAAAGACATAAAAATCATATTACATAAGAATTTATTATGTGTTTTACATGTACTCTATGTAACAAATTTTTAATTTTGATTCACGTATCAACTCCATGTAGCACCAACGGAACCTTATTTTCATTAACTCCCATTTTTAAAAGCGTACTTTCACTTCGAACAAGATTGATTGATTGTTGGTTGCTTAACGTCCAATGGCAAACATTTCATGCATGTTCAGGACAATAATAGATTAACAAGTAATATACTAGGTAGATATTGAGGCTGTCCGGGATGGCGATCGGGGAGTTTAGGGGTAGGACTAACCCTAACCACTGAAAAATGAGGATTTAATGGATAGGGACAGAAATTTGGCCTTACAAAAGACCACCTTCGGACCCCTCAAAGATTTTTTCCAAGGGTTCTTAATGTGCAGGACATGTCACTCTCTCTACACGAGCCATCGGATTAACGTCCCCATTTCGGCCGAACGTAGCTGCGTACTCAATACATTATGAACAACCAAACGGACGCTCCATTTTACTGCCGGTTAGAAGGAGACCTGTAGTGACCATATTTCTATTCCGAATTCATCCTTGGAACAAGAATTGAGATTAAACACGACGGGTGCCACATGTGGAGCAGGATCTGCTTACCTTTCTGGAGCACCTGAGATCACCGCCAGTTTTAAGTGGGGTTCGTGTTGCTTAGTCTTTAGTTTTCTATGTTGTGTCTTGTGTACTATTATTTGCCTGTTTTGCCTTTCTTTTTTAGCTATGGCGTTGTCAGTTTGTTTTCGATCTATGAGTTTGAATGTCCCTCTGGTATCTTTCGCCCCTCTTTTAAAGACAATAACCTTTTTCGTTTAGTCTACAGATTATAAGCTCGTCAAGGAAAGTAAAATATTCATGTAATTAAAGGGAAATATCTAAAATGTTATGAACGAATCTAGAAAAGTCAGGAACAAATCTTGAAATATTGAGTGTGAATCTAGTGATGTTTTGAGCTAGGTGGTACATGTATGTTGACGACTGCTTTTACAAATAGATGACATGTTTTATTTGAATTTTTTCGATTAAGTCATACTAGGGGAGATGATTCAAATATTTAAATTGAATTTGCCTCATTTGTTTTGTAGCAAGAAAACGAGTATTATGACCCAAATTTCCTATTTTATATACTGGAGTCACATTATAAGAACTCTTTTCTCAAATTTTATTTAAAATTCAACACTTTAGTTCCTTTCTTTTATTTTATAATTTTGAAAGAAAAAGTTGTTATGTGTTATTTATCATTTCTTACAAAATACGAAGTTTTTGCACGACCACCTTAAGCTTGAAAAGAAAATATAAAATCCATTACCCATACTTTTTATTATGTTTTTTGTAAAAGTATCCTAAACACTACATTTTAGCAAAATATTAAAAAATTCTATCGTTTTTTGAATTAGACCCCCATCTACCTTAAATCAAATTTTGATAAGATTTCTTGGCAGAATTAATTATGACGATGACCTAATTTATTCTTTTATTTATAATTAGAACAAGGTTGTTAACTTCCTTGACAATAAAAAATCGGATTGTGACCTTGACACATATCGTTTGACAAAATAAGGCATATAATTGAAATGGTGATGACCATCTGATATATTATTTTGTATTAAAGGCCATGCATGCCATTGTGAGTTATTTAATATGTTTTATGTAAATATTGCCAAGTTTTGATAGGATAAGAATCTTGACTACTTTTATGAAGGTGTTATGGTTCTTGTTGTTATGTTATGAAAATACCTTGTCAAAGAACTTTAAAAATGTTAATACAATAACTGGAATTTATTCAAAATTTATATCAATCACATACAATTAGATTCTTGATCAGAGTTCTGTTACACAAATTGATAAAAATACAGACCCAAATGGAGCTATCAATAAATGTGCTTAAGTAAAAACTAAATCAAAAGTATTATATACAAAAATATCATGCTTACAAGGGGTATTTGCCAAGAAAGAGGGGCGACCGATACTAGAGGGACAGTAAAACTCATAGATCGAAAATAAACTGACAACGCCATGGCTAATAAAGAAAAAGACAAACAGACAAATAATAGTACACAAGACACAACATAGAAAACTAAAGACTAAGCAACACGAACCCCACCAAAAACTGGGGGTGATCTCAGGTGCTCCGGAAGGGTAAGCGAATCCTGCTCCACAAGTGGCACCCGTCGTGTTGCTCATGTTATTACAAATCCGGTATATAGTCTAATTCGGTAGGTCACATTCGTGGTGAAAAAGGAAGTGGATTGTAATTACGACATAAGGAACATATCCGATATCATCTGTGAAACGGTTATTCCATAAAGGTCAACCAACTCGTGATGGCGTCCGTAAAATTTACGAAGGGATGATTTCAACTTCACAATTTGGAACTCTTGGTTTAATAGCTTCCTTGTGAGCAGCAACCCTATATCAAGGAAATCATGAAAGGAAATACAATTCCGGGAATATTGTATCAATTGGGAGATTTATACTCCGTATGCAGGCGCTGCTGGAATGTTGCTACATAGAATTTGCAATTTTACAATTGGGGAGCTGAAATCATCTCTTTTGTCGTAAAGATTTTTTTTTCAACCAACCCTCATTGTCAATTTCTAGATGTAAGTCAAGATATGTGGCAGACTTAACTGTACCTGTTGTATCTATTATCTCTAGGTCGATGGAATAGATGCGTTCCACATAGTCACCAAATTTTGAATTATTTAGTGAGAGAACATCATCTATATAGCGGAAAGTAAAGTTAAAGGATATTGCTAACTTCTTTTCTTTCTTCCTAAGAAGTTCCTGTATGAAGTCAGGCTGATAATAATAAAGGAACACGTTGGCAAGAAGAGGGGCACAATTGGTTCTCATGGGAATGCCGATAGTGTGTTGAAAAACACGTCCTCCAAACGTAACAAATATGTTGTCAGTCAAGAAATAAAGCATCTTGATAATGTCAGTTGCAGAGAATCTTTTGTTTGAATCAGAGTGATTCTTTACAAAGTAGGATTTATCCCTCCCTAAGACAAGATACTTGTATCTACGTTGGCTATTCTTTCTTTATGAAACAAAACAATACCAACTCATTCAATTTGTCTTTTAGTTTAAAATGGGGAATACTTGTGTAAAGTGTAGAAAAGTCAAATGTTTTAATACTATTGCAAGATGAAAGATTCTTAGATTGTATATACTTTAAAAGATCTTTGGAATTTTTTAGTATCCACATCTGATTCACGCCACCTCTAGAATAGGCAGTTTCACAATAACTTTGAAGCCCGGCTTTGATTGCTAATAAAATAGATGTTAATAATTTAGAAAGGGGTTTCGTGGAGCACTTGGAAGTCCCAGCAATATACCATTGTTTGTAAGGACACTTATGAAGTTTAGGTATCTAATGGAAGATCCAGTTCTTCATCTTTGTTTGAAATTCCAAAGGAACATAGAACAGACCAATGATTATCCAGGATTTCATCTTTGGTAAGTGTCGTGAGGGTAAATGTTGAGTTTCCAAGTGAATTCCAAGTCAAAAATACCGGTTGAGAGGTAAACAAATTTCCAGAGCCGTCAGGCAAATACCCCTTGTAAGCATGATATAATTGTTTAATTCCACCGAATTTTCTTTGTATCCCTCTTGACCTCAGAATTGACCTCGAAACCGATATTTCTGACAAATACCCCTTGTAAGCATGATATAATTGTTTAATTCCACCAAATGCTCTTTGTATCCATCTTGACTTCAGAATTTTTATTGTAATCAGGTTTGTTATGCAGTTTCTGCTTGACTGTTTAATTTTTGTTACTTGTATATATGTAATGGTAATCAGCTGTAACGTGTTCCTCACTGTCCAAAAATCCTGTTTCTAAACTCAACTGTAAATAGCCTAGTAGCAAATTTTAATTTTATAACATAATGGATTTTTTGTGCGACAAATTAAATGACACAACCAATGACAAAGTCGGACAACAATTGTGACGTTATCAGGTAACACAGTGTGACAGACTCAAATGACACAAAATCCTACCACAAAATGTGATTCAAGATGAAGAATAGCAAAAAAAAAAACTTTAAAAAATGAGCAATTTCCTCCAATGAACATGCTGGTAGTACAGCTTTAAAATTTCTGTTGGATATAAGTACTAAAATCTAATAATGACTTCAGGATGAAGAACAACAATAAAAGATACATTCATGACTTTCTTTTCATGTTTTTACGAGTAAATTCATGATGCAAAAAGACAAAAATTCGGACAGAAAGATTGAACTTTCTGATTTTGAATTCATATTTTGACACTTGGGCACTATAAAATAAATCATGATATATGTTTGATAATTGATATTAAATATTCCAAAAAATATCAACAAATCAAAATACATGTAACGAGTCTAAATTTTTATGGCTGAACCATATTAATTGTAACATTGCAGTTGTGAAACGTTAAACTAGATCCTGTTGAACTAGGTGCAACTTTAGAGTCAATTTTCATCTGTTGATTTGTGTTTGGAATATACGTGATATCGGATAACGGTTGAAGCTCCACTTCACCCTGCACAATTTCATCAATTATTTGATCAGTGTGTAAAGCGGAAAGAACCAATTCATCCACTGTTGTCGAATTCAACATTACTTGCTTGAACAGTTAGATTTTCACTATGAGTTTCAGTTATTGTAGTAAATTCAGACACAAATTGAGACATTTCTCGTTTTTGTTTGTTTGTTGTGTCACGGCAATAAGATTTAATACTTTCCTCACTACGGTGGCCAGATATAGTGATAATATGACGTCCTTCAAATCCTGCTTCATTCAAAAGAGTAATGCAAGTTGCACGATTACAATGGTTACTATAGACTTTTGACAAACTGGCAGCTTTAGAAATAGAAGCCATCATATCACCAAGTGTGTTTTCACCTAATGGCTTGTTGTTAAACCAACTATTATTATCCTCATCAAAGTCATCCTTAGGTCTTTGAAATAGCGCAGAAATATTTGGGTTTCTTTTCTCTAAGTGTGCAAAGGATGCCAGTGGGCACATCGCAGTTTTTGTTTCATACATCCTACCACTTTCGGGTTCGAATTCCTCAGTTTGGTCACCCTGATGGTTTTTAGTTAACTCTGATGTAACTTTACTAAGGTAGCGCTTACCCGAATCATCGGTTTGAATGTCAAAATCAGACACTTTAAGGTTTCTCAAGTTTTCCTGTCTCCTACGAAAAAAATACAGAATGAGTTCACGAAACACTTTGTTAAGAAGTCCAGTAGGTATTTTTGGATTATATACACGAGGATGATGGTAACGTTTGACTTTCATCTTTCTGAATACTTGGTTTGTGTTGGATTTTTCCCTTTCCTTCCTGTCTCATTTTTTTAAAAATGGTTTTGAACGCATCGTTGGCATTGTTGAACGTAGAATCTGCGATGATATCAATAGTTTTACTAACTGGCGGATTCCTGAGAAACCTATTCAAGCTCTGACAAACCACTAAAAAACTGCTACGGGTATAAAGTTCTCCGTTGTGGAGACGCAAGTTGATATAAAACCCTTTCAAAAGTGTACACAGTTCTGACACCGTCACATTTTCAAATTCAACATCTCGTTCCTTTGTCAAACAATGATCCCGTAACAATTTTACAGCGATTTTTGTGTACTTTGCAGCATTAATACATAAGGTGGAATTATAACAAAAATACCGAACTACGTAAGAAAATTCAAAACGGAAAGTCCCTACTAAAATGGCAAAATCAAAAGCTCAAACACATCAAACGAATGAATAACAACTGTCATATTCCTGACTTGGTACAGGCATTTTCTTATGTAGAAAATGGTGGATTAAACATGATTCTATAGCTAGATAAACCTCTTACTTGTATAGAATTAAAATTGACAAATTCACTAGACTGTTAATTCATTATATAAGAAGCCTTTAAATACTGTAAACCAACTTAATTTCGTGGATACTGTTTTTCGCGCTAAGACAATTTCTTCATCACTTCGATGTGATTCAGTTTCGTGATTTTCAAATGTACATGATGTATTTAGATCAGTGAAGTCCCAAGTTTTTACTATTCGCGAAAATTTATATTCGCATTATTTTTCTACTCGCGTGAGTCGCGAAAATAAATCGCTACCGAAAATTAGTTGGTTTGCAGTACTGGATGAATGAAAATGTTAATTTCTTAGTTTGATCGTAATTTCTCTCCTTTTCTAATCGTGCAATTACATCGGTTTTTGTTTATTACCTTGATTTGAATCATCTTATTAATTTGTGATATTTAAACATAGATGATCTACTGTTGTCTAAATTGCCTGTACAAAATTCAGAAATATGACAGTAGTTCTCCATTCGTTTGAAATGTTTGAGTTCTGATTTTGCCATTTGATTAGGGAATTTCCGTTTTAAATTTTCCTCGGAGTTTGGTATTTTTGTAACTTTACTTTTTAAACGTTATGCCAAACGAACAACTTAAAAAAAACAAGCAATGATAGTGGTATACCTAATGTTTACAGTTACAGATAGAGCATTCATTTTTCTTCTTAAAGTGGTTTCAGTTATTCATGAAAGATACCATTATCTTTAAAATATCATACTTGTTATCAATTATTATCATCATGCTAATTTGAATTGATTGACGAGTCAAATCCCTGGTTTTTCCCACCTATCCAACTCTACAAAAACATTATGTTGAAAAATTCCTGGCTTTTACTATGCAGTAAATTAAAATTGAAGGAAGGAATCCTTATATTCCTTACTGATTTCCAAAAACTTATTTTTCATACACCTCTGATAAAATATTATGAAATTCTTGTTATTTCCAAAGACGTAGCTGATAAAATTTATGTCTCAATTATTCCTTATATTTTTGATACGGTTTAGCATTAAATTCTCTCCACAGATTTCATATGGAAATTCCAGAGAAATCTTTTCCCCTTAATAATTCATTATTTTTTTTTCAATGCTTCATTACAAAACACATACCCCTATCTTAATTATGTATTGTCTTTATCCTAGAATTGTTTTAGAAGTAAAGCAATGCTGAAAAACTGAAAAGAATTAAAAGAAATACTGTTCACTGTTCAGTATAGTAGAATTTCACTCCCATCTCACTTCTTGTTCCTCATACAAGTTTTAAGTGGCTTAAAACTAAGAAAATGGCACATGACTGCCAATAACACAATTGTTCACAAGAGTCCAAACCACGTAGACAGCTGCAACTGTGTATTCATTATGTACAAACCAATAAACGACAATTAAATAAGATAGACAGCAACCATGCAACGACTACCACTGAATCACAGGCTACTGACATGGGACAGCCACATACATAATATGACGGGTTAAAACATGTTTTTGGAAGCTAAATCCTCATCCTAACTTAGGGAAGTGATCAAATAGCATAACATAAGAAAACTGTAAAAGTCAGTTGAAATGGTAAATCATACTCCCCAGACTAAAACTTTACCAAACAGAATCAGTTTTACTCTGATTAAACCGAATCGAAACAATATATGATACAGAAATTAAATAACACTTTTAGATATTTGGATGATATATTGGTTCTTCACTTATTTTTGCTGCAGTTCAGTGTTTCTGTTGTTCCGTTTTTTTCCTCTTATAGTTAATGTGTTTCCCTCGGTTTTAGTTTGTAACCCGGATTTGTTTTCACTTAATCGATTGATGACTATTGAACATATCATTAACTTATTATTTCTTAACTTTAATAGCATAATCTTGCTTTAGAAACAGTTTGTATTTTCATATTTCACATTTCATCATTCATAAGGATTAGATTATACAAAAATTACAAAAGATGAAACCGTATGAAAGAAAATAAATATTAAACAATATTATATTAAGTTACATTAAACCAAAATTACCTGTTTTTCCGTGATGTTGAATCTTCGATACTATCGGGATTTCTGTTCAAAATTGGACTGTACACCTTGTTGAATTCAATGTAACTAATTAGTTATGTTGTTTGTATCTTTTAATTATATAGTAATGAGATAAATCAACCATAATATTTGAGGAAGTTGGCTATTTACAGATGTGTATATCGGCTAGCAGCCTATCTGTTTAAACAAACAATACGTGTAGTATAATTATTAATTTAATCAATATTAACCTCTTGTGGGAAAAAAGAAGAGAAAAGGTCAGATTTAAAGTAGTGCATGAATCCAAAAATAGTATTGTTATTCAATATTCGGAACTTTAAACAACTGTCATACAAGTGGGAGGTTTAGCTACTTATCAACCCAGTTTTAACCAACCATTTTCTTCGATAAATGCCTGTACTAATTCTGGAATATGACAGTTGTTGCGCTCGTTCCTTGGAATGATAACTTTTGATTTTGTCAGTTTTTATGTACTTCCCCCTTTTTAAATTCCCCTTGAGTTCGTTATTTTTGTTTTACTTTTTTCGATACCATTGAAATTCTGTCGAGGAACTTATGGTTCTTCCCCTGATCAAAATGTATATCAGTTATTGATATTTGAGTTTATTATTTGCAAAAAATGAAAAAGTTTAATATTTAGGGGATTCCTGATATGCTTTTTCATGTTTGAGGAATAAAGTTCGCGTACTGTTGATTCATTTATATTCGTGGGTACCATTTTTCGTGGATTGTGGAAAACTTGTATTTTCGTGGATATTTGATTTCGTAGTGTTGCCAATGTTTGCATACAATCTTATAGAACACTTGTAATTCATTTAACATTCAAATTCGTGGTTTGCCTGTACCCACGAAAACCCACGAAAATTGGTATCCAACGAATGATAATGAATTCACAGTATTTGTTTTCGGTTTTAGTCTATTATACTAATGGTCCATTTTTTTTTAATTTTCTCGACCATTCAAAATCGCATCGGCGTAAAACAGCAAGTTATTAACAGAAGGAATGGAGATTCAGGGTACACATTAGGTGTACATTTACTACATAAGCCCAACATAGGAATACAATCGTAAACACACAAATGTAAAAAGAAGTTTAAACTCACTTACTAAAAGCAATTTCAAAGTAACTTTCCAACTAATAAACAAATCATACTCCCCAGACTAAAACTCTGCCGAACAGTTTTAATATAAAACCAGTTTCAATATATGATTTATAGCATACGCTATAAATTTATTGCTTTATTTTTAACATATTTTGTTAATAGTGAACAAAAGGGTAAAACATGCTACACCGAGGAACAAGTGATAAGTATGCTGGAGTTTCTTATTTACAACATGTTTGTTGAATTTGGATGTAGACTTTTTCAACAAATTGTCGGCATTCCAAAATGAATGAACTGTGCGCCTCTCCTTGTCGACCTCTTCTTATTTTCATATGCGTAGGAGTTCCTTCAGACACTTGTCAAAACATGACGATAAAAAAAACCAGATCGTTTAATTTCACATTCAGTATGTTGATAATATTCTTTCTATTAAAAATCTAAACTTTTGTGATTGGGTTTCATTAATATATCTTCTAGAACTAAAATTAAAGAAACAAAAGACACCGTATCATCCGCCTCATTATTAGACTTATACCTCGAATTTGACATAAGCGGTCATCTCAGTACCAGAATCTATGACAAACGAGACGATTTTAATTTTGCAATTATCAATTTCCCCCACCTTAGCAGTAATATATAAACTTCACCAGCATATGGATTATATATTTCCCAACTTATTCGATACTCACCAGTGTCTTTTTTTCAATTATTCTAAAGATCTAAGTCGCTTTCATCTTTCTAATTGTTTTATACATCTGAACAATTATTTTAAACGTGTAAAGTACGTCAAAGGCCCTTCTGGTGATACAACAAAAATGATTTTGTCTTCATTTCCATCCTGCCAACATTTTGTTTGCCTCCTATTTGAACAAACTGCTACTTCCCTTGTTTCCGTAAAAAATTAAGAAGATGTGATATGGTTGTCAATGAGACAACTCTCCACAAGAGACCAAATGACACAGAATTAACAACTATAGGTTACCGTACGGCCTTCAGCAATGAGCAAAGCCCATACCACATAGTCAGCTATTAAAGGCCCCGAAATGACAAATGTAAAACTATTCAAACGAGAAAACTAACGGCCTAATTTATGTACAAAATAATGAACGAAAAACAAATATGTTACACATCAACAACCAACAACCACAGGCTCATGACTTCGGACCGGTACATACAGAATGTGGCGAGGTTAAACTAGTTTGTTGGCGCCAAATTCCCCCCTTGCCTTGGACAGTGGTGTAACAGTACAACATAAAAATCAGTTGAAAAAGGCTTAACTCATCAGATGGATACAGTAGAAATACATCTAACAAAAACACAGAGTGAACGTGGACGGCTACTTATACATCTACACAAAAGAAAGACACTACGTACAGATCTGAGAGTACTCGCAGTTAATGACAGCTAGTTCAAAGCCAATAACAACTACTGAGAAAAGTTATGCATTTAAAACAGTGATATCTTGGTTTGTGTTAAACTTGTAAGATCCTTCTTTTCCTTTTAGTTTAAAACAATTGTTTTCTTGATTTCGAAGTTCAGTTCTAATTTAAGGAAAACAAACTAAATCCACCTAAAAGTTGTAATGAAGTTTATTATCCTAAATAAACGCAAACATATTTTTTGCACAGTTTCATACACAACTGTAAGAAAGTCTGCTTTACCAACGAACACAATCCATCAACTTCTGACTACTGTATCTAAGAAAAGAAACTCCAGTTCGTACCATTAGTTACATACATCGGAATGAACATAAAAAACTATTTCATCTTTGTAAAAAAGCATATTAATACTTTAACAAACTAAAGGTTCTAAAGAGTTTGTGTCGCTCGCCTGCATCTTCAACAATGGCCACTTTTTATTAAAATTAAATTATCATTTTAGGGGAATAACTCTATCAAGAGTTAACTGACAATTTCAGTCATGTTGACACACTTGTAGATCTTATCCTGTTGATAATTTTTTTCTTTTTAAAATTTCTAAATATCTATTATAGTTTTCGAGATAATAGGCGAAAGAATTATAAAAAAAATGTTAAAAATTATCATTTAAGGGCAATAACTCAAATAACGAGTCGACTAAAGATTTCGGTTTTTTTGGTTTATTTGTAGATTTTGTTTTGCTGATAATTCGTGCCATCAATTTTCTATCTGCCTGTTATAGTTATCAAGATAATAAGCAAAAATGGGGAAAATCGTCATTAAAGGACAATAACTTCAATAAGGAGTCGACTAACGAATTCGGTCGTGTTTGAATAATTTGTAGATCTTGTCTTGTTGATAAAGTTTGCTTTTGAAAGTACATATATATCAATCATAGTTTTAAAGATATTGGGTAAAAGTCCAAAAAATGGTAAAAATCGTCATCAAAGGGCCATAACTATAATAAAGAGTCGACTGAAGATTTCGGCCAAGTTGACTTATATTTAGATCCTGTCGTGTTGATCATTTTTGCTTTTTAAAGATTCTATCTATCTATCTATTATAGTTTTTAAAATATATAAAGCAAACAATTGGTAAAACTCGTCATTTAAGGACAGTAATTCTAATAGGGAGTCTTCTGATGATTTTGTTTATAATGCCTTATTTGTAGATCTTGTCTTGCTGATCATTTTTGTTATTTAAGGTTTCTTTCTTATAATTTTTGAGATAATTGCAAAAATTTCAAGTAGAGGCTCAAAAGAGCATGTGTCGCTCACCTTTGTCTATGTGCATATTCAACAAAGGACACTCTCCAATATTGTAGACAAGAATAGAATTCGTGACAAAAATCTCTGTTTTGTTGATCTTGTATCGCTGATCATTTAGTCTGTTTATTTTCGCTCTATCTTCTTTAGTTTTTGCTCAAAACACAAAAGCCGGTAAAAAAAATCCTCATTTAAGGGCAATCACTCCTTTAAAGAGTGACAGTCTACTAACTATAACGACAAAATTTGACTTGTTAGTAGATCTTACCTTTCTGATCATTTTTGTGATTAAAAGTGTCTGTTGATCTATTATATTTTTTATCATATAAGATAAACGCCAAACAAATGGTAATAATCGTCTTTAACGGGCAATAACTCCAATAAGGAGTCGTCGGCAAATTTCCTCCATAGTGTAGATCTTGTTTTGTTGATAATTTTTGCTTTTTTAAGTTTCCATTTATCTATTATAATTTTTAAGATATAAGGCAAAACGCAAAAAATGATAAAAATCGTCATCAAATGGTGATAATCTAAAAAGGAGTTGACTGACGATTTCATGTTGTTGACCTTTTTGTAGAAATTTTCTCTCTATCTATTACAGTTTTCAAAATAATAGGCAAAAAAGAAAAAAAATGCAAAATTTGAGCATTTAGGGGCAATAACTTCTACAAAAAGTCGTCTGACAGTTTTGACGTACATGTATATGGACAACTGGTAGAACTCAACATTCTGAACATGTTTACTCCATTTAGTTTTTTTTCAATTTATAACGGGTTTCACAATAGTAGACAAAACTTAAATTCTACCCTTATGTTCTAGTTTTATCCATGTCGGCCATCTTGGTTGACAGACGACGACGAACGACGGAAACCAAGTGATGAGAAAGGCTCACTTGGCCCATAGGGGCATGATTGATGCATGTTAGTTTTTAAAATGTCCGCTAGTTATTATCCTGTACTGATTTAAGAAAATTTAAAAGCACTAGTCTGCAATGGGACACTAGTATGATAGTAACGAAAAAAATGTCTTTTATATTACATCTTAGAGGAAATACAGATGAAAATTTGGTAACATCAGTCAAGCCGAGAAAATTATTTTGAAATCTTTCCAGGTACTTGCTACGTGCTAATGATAATACATCATTAGTACTAGCCTGTACTTGGAAAGAGATCAGAGGTTTTAGATCACAACATCAAGAGATAATGGAAAAGAAAGGCAAGACGAACACGACGAAGGTAAACAAGCATTCGCACTAGCCTGTGCTTGTAGAGTAACAGATCAGATTGAATATCGCCACTCAGTTCGTTTGAAAATTGAACAAGAATAATAAAATGCTCCGCTGGGCGCAGCTTGATACGACCGTAAATGTCGAACCCTGGAAGGTTTGGGCAAGTAAGGA